CGAGGATACAGCTCGACCATCCCAGTACGGAGGCACGCCTTCCACCAGGACAGGCGCCACACGCTTCGGATCCGACTTTGGCAGCGCCACCATCGGTGCACACAGCTCGCGGACCAACACAATCCGAGGCGCACACGACTCTCCTCACCTCGGTGCGGCTTTCGTGTCGCGCGACAGCAGTGAGGAGAGCCTCCTGGACCTTCCGCCCGAGTCGTTTCACAGCAGCGACGCCTCGTTTCAGCGACCCTTCGCTGCCTCCGACGCGGCCCATTCTTCCGCTTCCGACTCGGCTTCGAGAACTGGCCGCGGACCGTCGGCGTTGGGTTCCACCAGTCGGCAGTCGTCATCGCGCGATCTGTCGGATGCTCAGTGGGACCACAGCGCACCCAGCACTGCACCTACTTCGTCTCAGTCCCAGACTTGGGACGTGCATACCAAGGGCGATGCTAGAAATAAGGCTGTTGGCACCAACATGGGGTCCGATCCGCCTTCCGATTCTGGTGTTCAGTTCCGAAAGAACAAGAGCACCAGCCACAACCGGTCCAAGACGATGGGCAACGGTGACCAAGCTAGGATCATGGCACAGCGCGCCGGTGAAGGGCCTGGCATGGCGGCCACCCCGGCGCGCGCACGAGCGGCGGCGGCCTCGCGACCCGGCTTCATCACATACGCAACCTCGCCGCCGGGCGACTCGCTCAGCTGGCAGCAGAGTCCTCCGAGCCGTCGTTCCATGGATCGAGACGCAGCTCTCTCCACATCGCCCTCGGGCGCACAAGACATGCTGTCCACCTCGCCTTTCCGGAGTTCGAGCCTGCATCATGGAAGTCCGCGCGGTCCTTCCTATGTCGGCGGCCACTTTGCGAGCGCGAGCAACAGTCCGCAGACGGGGTTGTCGAAAGCTGCGCAGGGGTCGGCAGCTGCGCCTACGCGGCTGTCCATCGACGCATCGGCGCACTTCCTCGACCTGGTGAAGTCTAACCACACGCTCAGCCCGTTCACGCGCAACATGGAACACTTTACAGTGCGCAGCGCCCCAGTCACACCGGGATGGCAGACCGCTTCCGGCAACGCGAGCGTGGTCGGGAGCAGTGCTGCAAGCGGCACAGGCACAACGAGCGGAAGTTCCCAGACAGGCGCGCTGGGCAAGCAGAGCAAAGGCAGTGCCAACGCCCAGGTGCAATCGGCTGCTGAACAGAGGCAGCAACGCGATTCAAGTATACCCCCTGCCTCTGCAAACACACCCGCGAGACGGCGCCGCACTTTCCAGCTGGGATCCTCGAGCTCGCGTGACGAGCAACAGTCTACGCCCAAAGCGGATCGTCGTCAAGCTGACATGCGCACCGACGGCGGTTTCGCGTCCAACGAGCATGGCTTCGCCCCCTTTGCCGGCTCGGGCCCGAAGCCGTTCCAGGCTCCGGGATCGTCGGCGTCTTCGAATGCCGAATCGAGCAAGGGGAAACGATCGGCGATCAAGGATGCTCGTCGACGCAGCCGTCCCGATTCGATGGGCCCACCGTCGGAAGCGGCGCGCATGAGTGCCCTACGCTGGGAGGCGATCCGAGAGTAGGGCCCCGGCACATACAAGTTCGATACCCACAAAGACGAGGCTCTTGCGTCTTGATGTACCGCCACTCACGATATAACGACCATGCACGCAATGCATTGACTTCATGGCATAAGAACGAGCGAGACCGCGTCGAGTTATGAGCGATTGCGAAAGGCTTGGCACCGAATCCGACGGCGAGATAAGCGTGCCATAGACGCAACCGAGATGCTGTCAGGAATGCGGCGCGCCTAGCGTGAGTTCCACGTGCTGACATCCGGGGAGAATCAACGTACGCGCATGCTCGAAAAGGCCGGGAGGCGTGCCCCGCTAGGTGGACTTGGCGCACTCCGTTTACTAGCATAGCATTCTGACATGGGGAGATGCAGAATGGCAGCTGGGCGTCTTGGCCTTCGCTTGCAATTGGCGAGAAATGATGGTGGCACGCAGATTCAGCCTAGTCCATAGCCGCGTACGTCGATGAGCGGGATCACGGCGAGGACCGAGCCTCCGGAGCTCTCCGTCGTTCCGAGGGCGGAATCGGGACGAGCCGAGCCCCCGTCGTTGGACGTCGCGGCGTCGTGTGAGCACGCTGGACTTGCACATACCTTACAAGCCATCGCTAGAGTAAAGCGAACCCGGACTAGCCTCGGATGCCTGTTCGCTCGCCAAGCCCCCGCTTGGATCGTACAGCGTGCGTTTCGGTTGCTCTCGACGGGTCTTGGCATCGAGGACGGCGACATCCCAGCCATTATGCGCCCAATCTAACACTTCGGTCCGCGCTTTAGTCCCAGGCGGGGCGGCCCAGCATCGGGACTTCCGCAGCTTGTGCCCACCTGACGCGGCAGTGTGTCAACCCGACCTCTTCCCCGCTGCACTTGATCACGAGGGCGAGCCTGGAAGTGGGTCAAAAGCGTTTGTCGCGGGGTGCGGAGTAGCATCGGTCAAGCTCCATCTAAAGTTTGCTCGATTTCGGCGGAGACCCGCACTTCCACTATCGCGCCAACCGACGCGGACCTGGACGCGGCGACAAGAAGGCCGGCCAAGATTTGAGCTTCAAAATCTTCTTGAACCCCCCCCCCCCCCCCCCCCCA